CCCCTACTATTCTGTGATTCTGTGACATACCTTGGATACTCGTTTTTCTAGAAGTCCGTATCTTGATCAAATGTAGCAGTGGAGAAAGGCCTGGAGCTTCAGGCAGTCAGCAAGCAGCTATGTCCATCATTAAGTCCTCAAGCTGGGTTTTATGGAGATGACTGATGTATCTCAAGTGTGTGGACTGGAAATATTTAATTTTCCCTTGTTTGTAATGTTTCTCTGTGCTAGGGGGAAGAGGAAGTCCAAGAAACCCCTTGTGAGATACTGTATCGAGCAATGTTGTACAATCTCCCCCAGTATATGGTAAGCCCATGTTTCTTAAAAGTAAAGAAGAGCTTTGGAGTGGGGAATGGTGCCAATCTGTGAGCTGCAGAGCTCAGCATGGGCCTGCTAGGGCATGTTCAGGACTTGAATGGAGAGATTTTGCTGGGAATCCAGAGCAGGCTTGGGTGGAAGGCACAGTCCAAGAGGAGCGACTCGGAAGATTAAGGGGTGGAGATACCCAGGGGGACAGTCAAATGGTTGGAGACAGGTCAGTGGTTGTCAGTGGATGGAAAACAGGATGTGTGCGGAGGATTGGGAAGAAGGAACAAAGTCCTTCACTTTGGTGGGAGCTCGAAACTGGCTCCTGCCCTCTGAACACTGAGGGGAACCAGTCGGAGATGGCCCTGTGTCATCTCTTGAGCTGCATGAGCTGTAATGTTTACCAACAAGTCATTGTACACTGATGCAGGTACCTTCACTTCTGGCCTCAAGAAGCAACCTATGGACTTCACTGCTCCCTTGAGCCTTTGTTCTTCTTGCTGAGATTAACTTTCTGTTACAGTATCATGCTGATCTGCAAGCATGATGGCTTGCTTGGCCAGGAACCAAACTAAACCATCATCATGTTTTGCATGGCTCAGCAAACAAGATGGTAATGCCTTCAGGTCTCTGCCAACCTGGCTGTGCTCTCAACAGCTATTCAAACTGTGGAGAGTCTGTAGGTTATGACCTTCCTTATAGGGACATCCCTTGCAGCCTTCCCCCAAGAGAATCCCAGAGGAATATAATGTGTGTGCTGAAATTCAGCTACATTGCCAAGCTGGATGAGACTTTGAGCAACCTCAGAGTGGAAGGTATCCCTGCCCATGGCAGGGAGCTTGGAACTAGATGGTCTTTAAGGCCACTTCCAACCCAAACCATTCCGTGATTCTAAGACGGTAATTGGGTCATGTGCGCTCTGTCCGTAGGGAGAGACAAACACAGATTTAAATGCATCAAGCTCCAGGTGTCCCTTGCGTTATTTTATCCATACTACTAGAGCTCAGGTGCTCATGACGCCTTAAGTTCAGGCTAAAACAGAGCTGCTGTGCTCACACTTGGCCTGTGTGTCCAGGCTATAAAAGGAGAGGTTGAGCCTTGCCATAGTCAGTCCGTCACAGTGAGTGGAGCTTGGGCTGGTGAAACTCTATAGAGTTGGCTTGAAGTTGTCCAGTTTCAGCAAGTGAAGAAGGGAAGAATGCTTCTTCCAGGGAGCATCCCCCCACGCCTGCCCTCTTCTGCAGATAGCTTTGCTGAAGATCCTCCTTGCTGCAGCGCCTACCTCTAAAGCCAAGACCGACTCTATCAACATCCTGGCAGATGTGTTGCCTGAAGAGATGCCGTAAGTCCTTGAGGAGGTGGCCACCAGCCATCGCAGCTTTGCCAAAAAGTCTTGGACCAAACAGGAGAGTTGCAGTTTGCTGATGGGTTCGGGGGGCTCCAAATCTGGGACATCTCTTTGGGTAGGTGCAAGCTACTGTTGCTGCCAGGGCAAAGAGATGAAAGGCAAGGACGTGAATGCCAGTTTTTCAGGAGCATAACAATTCGAGCGCAGTCAGCAGCGCTCTGCTAGCTAGGTGACACAAATCATAAAGATACTTGAGCATATGGCTGGTGTCCTTCATACTGCTCCGCCAGGATTGCTGGCAGGGGGCAATCAGCTTTTTTTTTTCTTTTTTTTAATACACTTTGGTGTCACCAGGCAGGAGATGGAAATGGGAGTCCCAAGGGGAAGCGAAGGTCCCTGTTTCTGTAGAGCCTGTGCAGATGAATATGAACTCAACAGTGCCTTAGTCCTCCTTGCTCCCATACCCACAGTGCTGTTGCCTTCTTTCCTTCCAACACAGCATCACTGTTCTTCAGAGCATGAAACTAGGGATTGATGTGAACAGACACAAAGAGATCATTGTGAAGAGCATCTCGGCTTTGCTGCTGCTGCTCCTCAAGCACTTCAAGCTGAACCACATCTACCAGGTGAGTGTAGAGAAGGAGTTGGCCATCGCCAAGCTGGTCTTGAAGCCAATGTGTCCTGATAGACCCTCTCCTAAAAGACTTCTCCAGGAAGAGTTTTCATGACGAGCTGCAGATTGCTTTTCCGTAGCAGTGAACCCTAGCCCCGGGCCAGGATTTGTATAGGGTTACTCAGGCAGGGGTAACCTGCCTGCAATATATCTCTGACTGTGTTTTGACAGGATCATTTCCACTCACATGGAAAGAGTTTTCAGACTTCTGGACAAATTCACGCTGTGGCTGATCAGGTTAAAATTTAGGAGGTGGCACGAGCACGAGCCTCCCTGGCAGAAAGGGGAAGGGGATGGGAGTTAGACAAGACCCTCTTTTGCTCTGTCTCATCTCCAGTTGCCAGAAATAGTACTGGGTAGGACCTCATGAGGTCAACTAATCTAGTCCTCTGTCCCTTGGCAGGATCAAGTTCTTGGGTCTCCAGTTTCAACAGAGCCTGGAGGTCTGGGTCCTAGATGCAATCTGTTTTTTGTGTCATCCATATGGCACCAATTGAACTGGACCTGCGTGAGGGCTTTCATTGATTAAAAAACCACCAAGGGCTGATTTGGGCTGTGGCCTAGGCCCAGTTCTCCACCCATTCTGCAAGTTAAAGAATTGGTGTTCTGTATTTTTTTTTTCTTTCAAAGGTTTCAGCATGGTAGGAATCCATCTGTGTTATGAAGCCCGCTGATATTTATCTGAGGATAAATATAAATCCATGTATTGGATTGGACAAAATGAAAAAAAGAAAAAACAACACATTTTTACAGTCCTACATTGGCTCTGGTTCCCCCCATGTCCCTTCACTAATTTTTCTCACTTCACCCCCGAAACAGCTCCTCTCATTTCTTCCTTTGTGGCAGGAGGACCCTTGCAGTATGGTGCTAAGAGTGGAGAAAGCTGTGGGGTTTCCCCCTCCTGATTCTGCTTTTGTGTCTGATTTTGGGAGAGCCATCGTAATTTCATGCGGTACCAAAGCTGGTCTCAGGGAGCACCCTGAGAACCACTTCAGGGGCTGAGACGATGCTTCCAGAAAGTGGTGGAGGGTAACGGAGAGCATGGTTGGTCCAGGCTCTGCTAGGGGTCACCTTGTGCTTGCTGACAGCCGCGTCAGTGCGGCAGCAACTGCACAGACCTGCGCACCAACACAGATCACGGAGTTTTTTTGTCTCGGTTCTGTCGGTTCTTTGGTGTTTCTTATGCCAGCAGAGAAACGCCAGCAAATTAGTTCAGCAAATTAGCTTTATGTTCGGTCAGATCCCATGTAGCACACTAGCTGCTGGCAGCTGCATTTCAAAGCAGTGAGAGCATCTCAGATCCCGGCTAGCGGGCACTGCCGATTACTCACTTGCAAATAATGGCGGCGGTGTGTCGTCAGTGGCGTACCGAGTGTCGACAGCTTGTACCAGGCTGACATGAGAAGTGTGGGAACAAACTGTTTCTTCGCTCTCAAATTTGGGATGTTGATTGCAGGTTAGTGAGAGGCTTGGGTAGGATAGGATGGGACAGGATATTGCTGCTATTTGTGTCTCTTTAGAGGACAGTAGAGATTTGTTGTATAATGCAGCCGTAGCTACCCAGACCATTTAATGTTTAGAGGAGGAGAGAAACTGAAAGCATGTATGAAGGTAAGGGTACTTTTTTCAGTCAAAATTTGAAAAGGCACTGGGGTTAGTGTGTGACAGCAATAGTAATTCATGTAATAGCTCA